CATAATGTGCAGGCACTGAGGTCAGGTCTCCAGCACAACTGTAACTTTGAGTATTGTGTCCATTTACAAGGAAATCTGTATGAAGCAAGGTTTAATGAAAACAAAACACAGCAAACGGTGACTGTTCCAATTAACTCCTGAACACTAGAACTGCAATGAGGCAAGACCTCCAGTCAGCAGAAAAGCAAGGACAATGCTTCATTTGTTCACCTCTCAGATTACAGGTGTGTGTATAAATTTAGGGATTTCCCTTTGTGGGGACCAAGAACTCAATTTTGCCAAAGATCCTGTGGAAGTAAAAAGTGCAGCTGAGCTGTAGAGATAATTCACACCACTTAGCGTGCTAGATCTTTAAAGCACAGTATACATATATTTTCTCCCCATGAGATTCCCACTTACTGACTTATATAAAGATTTCTATACATGGAAACTTCAAGTAGTCAAATTAGATATCTTTAAACACTAAGACTAGTTTGTGTGTGCACATGTGAGTATCGACAGAAAGAATACCTTGTTATGTGTTCTATATATTTTACATATATGTTAACATATTCTTTGTATGTTAGTTCAAGTTTTTATAATTCCTGTACTCATTAATCTTGTACTTGTAAATTACTTGTGTAATCTTGTTAAGATTAGTAATGGCTGTATAATATGTAGGCAAGAACACACAACAGTCACAGTGTGATATATTTGTGACGCAAGTGCATTGTATGGCACCAAATATATAGTTATAAACAAACAAGTCAGTATTGTGAAACCTACTCAGAATGAATCCTGTTTAGAGTGAAGTAGAGTTAGTTTTAGATTGTTCTGGGCATTGCAAGGTATAAATGGCAATTGGTTCCAGCAGGCCTCTGTCAGTCAAGCACTTCTGTGTTAAGAAATAAATAACAGGGTTCCCCTTGCTATTTACAGCTAACTACTCCATAACCTGGGTTGGCTGGAAGGAGGTAGCACCAATTTGCAACTAATGCTCTAGTTTAACTCCAGGTACAAGATTCTGAAAGCATTTTTTCCATTCAGTCACAGTTGCTGGAGGATCTGAGAAATAAATTGAACAAAGCCCACCTAAAGAAACACTGAAGCTGGATGTCAATTTTTAGGAAGTATAGCACTGATTTGGGGTCTCTTGTGCCTCTATGTCAGTGGTTCGCAACCTTTCCAGATTATTGTACCCCTTTCAGGAGTCTGATTTGTCTTGCGTACCCTGAGATGTCATCTCACTTAAAAACTACTTGCTTACAAAATCATACATAAAAATACAAAAAAGCATCACAGCACACTATTACTGAGAAATTGCTGACTCATTTTTAAATATAAATATTGTACTTACATTTCAGTGTATAGTATATAAAGCAATATAAACAAGTCATTGTCTGTATGAAATTTTAGTTTGTACTGACTTTGCTAGTGCTTTTTATGTAGCCTGTTGTAAAATGAGGCAAACATCTAGATGAGTTGACGTACACCCAGAAGACCTCTGAGTACACCCAGGAGTACGCACGTACCCCTGGTTGAGAACCACTGCACTATGTCACTCAACAGGCAGGCTGACCGATAGATAGAAGTGGATTGTCTCACTTTTGCAGACAAAAGCAAGCAATGAGGCTTGGGGATCCACTTCAAAGTGAAGGTTTATCTTCCAAATGCTTTTCACCATAATCTCAGTGACCAATTAATACCAACGCAGAACTGGATTTCCAATGCACCGCAGTAGGATCAGGGACAGTAATTCCTCCAGGTCCTCATCTGTGGCACTGTCAGTTGATTCCAATTCATTTCAACGCCAAATAATTTTGGGACCATTATGTTTTGAAAACCAAATCTTGAAAGTGGAAATCAAAGTGTGATGATTTTATGGTGTGGCTTCATGCTCATCCTCAAATTGCTGTGTTATAGCAGGCTCTCACCCCAGAGTTCCCTGCCTCAGCTTCCCCTTATGGACTATCAAGAAGTTCAATGAGGTTCCTATATAGTGAACAGTACCTCTTCAGGGGTCTAGTTTAATTAATCAAAGGCCAAACATGGTATGCAAACAAGCCTTCACTCCTGTATCATAACTGAGTTATGGGAAAGAAAATTAGTCTGCATGCCCCCACCTGATTCCTTCCATCCAGGCTCTTCATCAGTCAGGCCCTCTCAACCCAGAATCCTCTTCTGAAGTCAGGTCTCCTGCCATCCACTGGGAAAAGGTTCCTTCTCTGGATTCAGGACTGCTACAGAGATCAAACCATTACAGCTCTTCCCTAGAGGAGCACATAGCTCCCCAACAACCTAGATCCCTTGCCAGTAGCTGGTAAGATCCTTTCACTGGGACTAGGACTTAGTCCCTCCTAGTCCTTTCAAGACCAGCTCACCCCAGCAGTACCTCTCCTGGGTCCCCTTTCCTGGTAAACTCTCTCTAACCAACTCCCCTGCAAATTTCCTCTCCTCAGGAGTTTCTCTGATCTGAGAGCCACTGACTGAGCTTTCATAAGCCTTTATTAGGCCCAGATGTTCCTTAACTAATTAACTGCCACCCAGGCACTAGGCAGTTAACTACTCATGTGGAGCTGAGTTGGCCCATTCTCCTTAGAGGAGCCTGTCTCAGGTAGATTGGGTGCCTGAGCCTCTGATGGATCAGCTACCCTGTGACAAGCTTATTAGACTTTTTGCTGTAATTTAACTACAACCTCTCCCAAATGTAAATGACAAGCATCTCTGTAATTTCTTATCTTTTAAAATTAATATTTTGTTTCACAGAAGACAAACTGGGAAATTGTAGCACAGTTAACACAGTTCAGGGCACAAAGAATGCTCTTTGGAGATAATACGCCTGCTCTTTAATCACTCTCAAACAAATATCTCACTTGGGCAACAACTACTCCTGCTACAATCTTTATCATCCGCCTCACAGAGAATGGCAAGGCAGATAAAGCATTCAGCAGTGTGTCCATCCATCCCCGGCCACCCATTTCTCTTTGTATGCAACCTCTGAGAGGGGATCCTGCAGAGCTAAATCCACATTAAGTATGTATTACTTTGTTGCTCAAAGCCTTTTTAGTCTTTGTTAAAGTAGCTGTATATAGCAAATTGATACAGAGGAGTTTTTATGCGAGGTATCCACATGAAAATACAGGTCCTTTTCAATTGTAATCCCTGATAATGGACATTGCCCTGACCCCAATTAAAATTCCTGAATATGAACTGGAAATTGTTTGGCAAACAGAGAACTGAAAATAAACATTAATGGTAAGGGGAGTAGTATCAAGTGACCTACAACAAGCAATAATGTTTTCATTAATGATCTAGAGAAAGGTATAAATTCAACAGGGATTGCGTTTGGTAAGAAAAGCTAAATCAGAGGGTCAGACCCACAGTGCACAGAAACCCAGAGAGATCATAATTGTGGAGTTTGGGCAATAAGATCAGTTCTAATGAATGCTATATCCAAGGAAAGGAAGCATCAGCAGATACTTGTCACATTTTGATAAAGGAAATTCTCCCCCATGGATTTCAGTCTGGAGTATATGAAATGAGTCCCATTGTGAGGGTCACAGGCCTTGTCCTAGGGCAGGGTATCTGGGGGCATTCTCTCCCATGGGTGACTATGTTATCTGTTGGCAAGAGGCAATGACACAGGACTTGAGGAAAGGAGCTGAGGCATAGAGAAAGAACGGGTGATGCTTCTGCTAGTGGTCCCCAACCTTTTTGTGGCCAGTAGCACATTCATGTTTTCAGAAGAGTGTGGCTGGCGCCAACAATTTTTCAAGGCTTATTTTGTATTTGTACATTAAATAATACGAAAAAACATCATATTTAATATTACATAATATATGAATCCAGAGAGAAGCTGGAGAGAAGCCGCAAGGACAGAGAACACCAGCACTCACAGCCCCGGAGTACTCTGTCCCCAGCAGGCGCGGGGCCCCAGCTTCTCTCCCCTGTTGGGCACTAGGCAGGCCCCGCGTCTGCCGGGGCAGGGCCGGCTCTAGGTTTTTTGCCGCCCCAAGCAAAAAAATTTTTGGCTGCCCCCCACCCCAGCCCTGGGCTCTTCCCCCCCCACCAGTGCCCTCCCACACCCGCACATGGAAGGCATAGGGACTAACTCTCAAACCTTGTACCCGGAAAGGGATGGGGATCTAGTAAAGAGGGTTCTGGCAGAGGAGCGGGTGTGGGAGTGCTTGGGGGCTCTACACTGGCAGAGAAGTGGAGTGTGATGTACTCGCGGAGGAGGGTGGAGGAGGAGAGGGGATATCAGGAGGGTTGCAGGAAAAGAGGTGCAGGGGAAAGAGGAGGTGTGGGAGGAGAAGGCTGGGGGAGGGTACAAGGGGAGAGGTGCGGGTGAAGGGAGAGTACAAGGGGAAGGGGTTCGGCAAAGGAGTGATGGGGGGAGGTACAAGTGAAGAGGCTGCGAGCAGGATGGGGGGTGCAAGGGCTGAGAGGGGCAGGCGCTGACAGCTGCTTCCCTAGCCCCATGCAGGCAGAGCCAAGAGGACGGACACTGACCCCCAGGTGCCCGAGCCGCGGGGGTCCCTCAGTGGGGCAGTATCCCCCGCTGCCCCGCTCAGAGCCGGGCTCTGCCTCTCCCCGCCCCTGGCGCTGTGGGAGCCCGGGGCAAGCAGCGCAGGGCTGAGGAGGGGGAGGTGCGCAGCGGGCTGGGTCTGGGGGCAGCTCCCTGGCAGCTCGGGCTGCCCAGCCACTCGCCCCATCAGCATGCGAGCCGGGATCCGCGCCCCCCTGCCCAGCCTGGCGGTGCCCTGCACAGCCCACTCGGGCAGGGAAACGCTGTGCTGCCCTGGGGAGACTCAGAGCAGTAGCAGTGGCAGCAGCAGGACCCCTCCTCCCTCCCGGGCCCCGCTTCCCTCCTCCCCGGCTCATCACACACTCCAGGAGCCCCTCTCACTGCCGCAGCCCGGGCTCGGCTCCAGGGGACAATGCTCTGGCTCTCCAGCAGCAGGGCTCTGGCCAGGGCTGGCTCCCGGCTTTTTGCCACCCCAAGCAGCCCCGGAGTTCTCGGTCCCCTGCAGGCGCGGGGCTTCTCTCCCCTACTGGGCGCACATAAATGCCCCAGCGGGCACTGCGTTGGGGACCACTGTGCTAGACATTAGTCAGGGAAGTACTGAAATGCTGGCCACATGGGTTTTTGTACTCTGGAAAATCACAGTTATAACATATTAATTAGTACAAAGTGAAACATCTAGTGTAGACTAGGGCTGGTGTGTTTAAGTTTGTATTTGCTGGCTGTGGTTAACCCCCCAGCTCAGTGTAGAGTCTACAAGGTCTTTTGCTCCAGCCTGGCGTTGCTGCACTGCTGGGTGATGGTGGGAGATGCTGCAGGGCCTGGGCCGGTGAATGGAATTGTGGTGGAGAATCAAACGGCTGTTAGAGCAACGAGGGGCGTGAGCACCTGGGAGGTCAGCGGGTGAAGCAGAGCCCGTGGCCCGGCACGGCTGTAGGGTTCCGCAGGCTGGGCTGGGAGCTGCAGTGGCTGGCAGGTCCCAGGCTCTGAGCGGCAGGATACGCACAGGCTGCAGAGACAGCGCCACGGGGGGTAACCCCGGAGCCCCAGGCTGCTGTGCACGGGTCTGTGCTGGGCCTGCGTGCGGCAGAGCTCCCCGTCCTGTTCTCGTGCGGGCCCGAGCAGCCCGGGGCGCGGCAGAGCCGCGGGGGGAGGGGATCTCGTGCCTCACACGAGCAGGCCCAGCCTCGGGGAAAGCGTCGCTCGCTTCTCGCCGGCCCGCGGCAGAGCGCGACCTCTGGACCGGAGCAGCTCGAACCGGAGGCCACTCAGCGCATGCGCGGAACCGGAAGTCCGCCAGGCATTGCTTCTTTAGGGCCCTTCTATGCTACTGAACTGAGGCGTTTCTATAGCCCGCGGCTGCCGCTCGCTCGGGGAGCTGTGAGGGAGGGGGAGTGGCGGCGCCTCCGGCTGCCTCGCGGGGAGCCGGCGCGGGGGGATGGGCGAGAGTACCAGCCCCATCAGCGTGATCCTGGTGAGCTCGGGCAGCCGCGGCAACAAGCTGCTCTTCCGCTTCCCCTTCCAGCGGGGCCCGGAGCACCCGGCCGCCCAGGCCGGTAAGTGACAGCGCGGGGCCACGTGCCGGGCGGCCGGGCGCACGAGGCTGGAGCGGGCCACTAGGCCTCGGGGCTTCGTCCTCTGGGCCTTGTCGCGCGCGCAGAGCGGCCTGAG